TGGTATCCATATGCACTGCTGTACTAAAGCGGGTGGGGGGCATTACGTCGCACTCAAGGCTATCAAAATCACGAAAAATATTTCTAATATGTTACATGAGCAGTAGCGATCTTGCGCAACCAAATGATTCACGCACCACGGAGCTGTTTTCGTTTTTTCCCTGATTGAAAAATGGATAACTTTAGCTGGGTTGGACCAATGCGTCGCGGTATCCTCCTCCCCCTTTTGTACCCCGGTGCTTGCAAGTAGCATTGTTAGATCCCCACTTATCAAGCTAAAACTCTTTGAGGTGTTCTGCGAGTTGTCAAGACTGAAGTTTGCTGCCGAAATGGTTTCTGTGTTGAGTAAGTCGTTGTCCTAAACATAAAGTGAGAGTGATTTTTCGAGCAAAATCGTGATTGATAAAATTCTGTTATGGAAAATTATACTCGCAAATTCGAATCAGACCTAAAACTACCATAAAGCGGCTTATTCGCGTGCTGGTTGAACATCGAGGCTCACTGGTGGCGATAAATCAATCAGGAGAAAAAAAAAGTCGAAAAAACGAGACGAAGATAAAGAGCAGTGAAAGGCAAAGTGAAAAAAGGAACAGCCATGGCGTATAACCGGAGAAACAACAGCAATAAAGTACAGAACGTTGAACATATTGAACTGTTGTGAGAAAGGAATCGAAACATAGCTTGGCGGGGCGATTTCATTTAGACGGTAGCTGAGTCAGAGTCGGACAGGTTGTTTGTCTTGCATTAGTAGACGGCCTTGTAAACTTATGAAGAAACAGGGGAAAAAGGAAGTCTACCTGAACAAACCTGAGTATATCAAACAAACGAGTTTGCCTAGGAAATCAGAGAGTAGGCGATCAGGAGATTGTATGCAAAAATCTTAGGTAGAAACTTTTAAATTTCGGAGGAACCAGAGGCGGACAGTAGCCTGCACCAAAAGAACTACTGACGGTAAACAAAAATTCAGGAGCTTCCTGAATGGAGTAAGGAAGCATGAGGGGTTTATCTGGGCGCACATATCCTTAGGGGGTTATTCGAAACAGGACATTCAAAAAACGCTGGTAGGTGGCAATAAGACTGGGTTCGGGACAGGGAATGAACGTCTGGGAGAGCAACACTTGCTCACATCTTTCCCAGAATCCATTTCCGTTCATAGGGCTCAGCCCCAAGTTCTGTAAGTGGCTCACTCACTTCAATATCTTTCTAAGGACATTAGCGCCTTTATGTGTTGGTTGAATGTACCAGTTCCTAACCAGAATTTGAAGGCAGCGATTATAGGTTCTATAGGGGTTCACAGGTGACGTGGGGTGCTCAATGATACGCCAATGGCGGAAAAAGCTGAGAAACATTTGAAAGGCTGAAATAGAACCCCCTTTCGGCCACGGTTCTTCGCTCATGAATGGGCGGCGTCTACGACGGTGGACTTATGGACGAGTTTTGGGCAACGCGCTTTTTGGCACCAGGCCATTCCATACTGAAGCCCAGCTGCTTCAGTTGTTCCGCTGCTGGCAAGTCATCTCGTCCAAATCACCAACTAAATTAGTGGACGAATCGCTTTCAGAGGTCGAAGACTTTGCCATTTCGCAAAGTCTGACGTGGGCCTAAAAGCGTGACATCTTGCTTTCTTGGTAACCAAGTGACTGCTTCGTGTAACGCACATACTTCCCCCGATGTGCTCCCCGTGTTATCGTAGCCGTTTATTGAAAAAAGTTAAAGTTGTACAAGCAATGACATCTAACAAAACAGCGCTTCGGTTCTCGAGCTCCAACGCCAACGGCAGCTGACGACCGCAACAACCATCCCAAACTTTTTCACTGTTATCTTCAATTCTGACACCGACTTTTTGAAACGTATACATTAGCATATGGGAGCAGAAGCAGGTTAACATATAGATGAATGAAGAGTTGCGTCAAAAAATGAGAAAATCGAGCGACAAGTCCAAAATCTGCACTAATGGTAATTATTTCCAAATCTTCTTCAAGCAAGACCTTGTCAATCAATCTGGCCAGAAAGCGACGTAGCACAACCATGAGTCAGTGTCGTAAAAGCCCACCGAGGTCCCGTTGGTGCCCTTGCACAAGAAAGGGCATCTAAGAGGGTGAAGTGATAAGAACAAGAAAGGATCAAGAAAAAGTAGAAGGAAGGAATATGAGGGAGGAAAATAACTTGGTTGGAGTTACGAGGAATTGCAACTGGGAAGATGGATGTCCCGGAAAGTTTCGGCCGATAATTCTATTTCACGTCTTTACACGCAAAAACTTGGTTGCAGCAGGCAAGGTTGTTAACCTCGTTGCAGTGTTGAGCTTATACTATTTTTATTATTTAACGCTATTTTTTGTTAAATGGTGCCTCGGTAGCTTATTTGTAGCGCATTTGCCCCGTAAGCGAGAGGTGCGGGATCGAGTCCCGTCTGGGGCGAAAGTTTTGATCCCAACCCAGCATTTTTGTGAAACATTTGCAAGACGATCTGCGGCGACAAAGCAGTTAACAATCAAAAACAAGTCAAAATCAACTATTTTCTTTTTATTCAACACTTGTATTATTTCAATGGATATTAATGAGCCCACGAAAGACTAAGCACTTCCCTGTAATTGAAGAAAAACGTAATGAACATCCTCTAGATCAATATACAGGGAATTTACTTCCTAAAAAACAGAATTTTCAGATATGCATTTATGAGTTTTTGCAATTCGAAACGAGAATCAAGTGCGTGGTGTATTCCACAGCGACTGATCAGCAACTAGCATTTCATTGCTCAAAAATCATCCAGGAGTGATGTGGCTCAGGGTGGGGCCAGCCCATAACATTGCGCAGATTTACGAAAAACTCAGTTTCACGTCTGAGCTGTAGAGGAGAAACGGGACCCCCATGTGCGCAAGCAACTCTCACTCTGCCCGAAATTTGTCCCTGTTGGATAGGCTTTGTCCTAGTGGCCTTCCTAAATTCTGCTTCCCCTCCCCCGTAGACACATTGCGCCCTAATCCTGTTCTCACTGTATCCCTTGTGATTGAATCCCACTCATAGGTACTTGCATCACGGAAATTATAACGCCGTAGAACATCATTTTTCTCACGAATAAACAAAAATATTGATGCGTAAATAAGTAAACAATCTCTGACCCTCTATGTAAACTAACAGAACCTCTCACGTGTCCGACGCCCAGGCTTTCCAAGCATTTAGGCACTTTGAAGGAGAGAAAGTTTCGAAAGAAAGAGTAAGAATGTTCTCGCTGGGTTGGCAGAGCTCCAGCGACGGAGTGGACGCCGCGGTGTTCTGCAAATGGGCGATTCGTAAAATGGCGCGGGTTTCAGACGATTTCAAATGTGTGGACGCCGCCGAAGTCACCGCCTACTGCGCTGCAAAGCGTTGTGAAAGAAATTCGAACGGGACGGATCACAGCCACGACAGCCACGGGCGACCTTGCAGCCGACGGCAGCGACAGGTGTAGAACTATACGAAAAACACGTTCTGCACGGGACACTTGCTTGGCGAGGCTTCAATAACACCACGGAAGTAATGCAGTAGTCATGCAGTAATGCAGGAACGCATTTGTGTTTTCTATAAGATCGAGTTTCGCCCAAGGAAACCCAGGTATGCCACACTCTGACGGCTAGTTGGTGCTAAATTGCACTTACTAGTTTCTTGAATAACGCAAGCGCAGCCCCACATGCAAAAATTAAGCTGTTGGCCAACTTCAATTCGAAGCTGCCACATGGGTCAGCCTTGTAGGGCCTCACCATGGGGACCAACACCTCGTGATCACATGAGTCCCCCAGCCAAGCATGTTTAGTAAGTTTAACTATTTACCTCATCGGGGCAGCAGTGGTGTAGTGGCAAGAGGCACGTTCACCACGCGCGCGGTCCGGTGATCAAATCCTGGGTCATGCGTCGTCCGGGCCAGCCAAGCCTTCCTTCCATTCCTTCGGGGTTGATTAATTGGTACCAGACTTGTCTGGGAAGATAAAAACACTAAATCGTACATCGGCTGGCCCCCGCAAGTCATTGTACACTGCGTTTCATAATTATAATTCCACCTTATAACTCCACAGAGTCTTGTAAGTTTGGATGTTCCAGGAAAAGTCTCCGGTGTGAAAATGGCGCAAATATAAATGCGAAATTGCCTGTGGACAAAGACCTCCGATTCAATACCACTAGAATTTTTTCTAATAATTTTTGTACGGAAGGCCACTTGGCCGACGTCTCAAAATTATAATTCCACCTCATGTTTTCGATTACTTTTCCCTTCCGTCACACGAAATTTTTTTGTTGTATTGACACTTTGCCTCTCAAGACGGCAATGTAATAAAAACTGCTGTAGGGCCTTGGGAGAGGAGGCTGCCGCAAAAATTGTTGCACAAAGCAATCGCGCCAGATATGGACCAAATTCACGCCGAGCTTAGGAATCCTCTAAGCGATTTCGAATGATATGAAGTTCAGAAGAGCGGCATAGATAACGGCTATGCTTCTGAGTGAAATGAAGGCCGTGTCGCAAGAGAAACGTCCACTGCAATCGAGTCCGTGCTCTGCCACCGGATCTTTTTCAAAGCTTTATTTCATAATGGACCAATGTTTCGTACGTGTGAGGCAATCCCAAGTTCACTCTCGAGTGAGGAATGTGAGGGGGTCATCTTTGGCAAGAAACTATGGCGAAAATCGGGTCGGTTTTGGCATGAAGATGCAGCCGAACCGACCAGAGTAGGGTCCGTTCTTACTTGCTATGTATTAGCACTTTTCTGTTTTTCTTCCCATGTTTTTCTTTTCCTTGGTGGCTTTGTTCTTCGCAAAGCACTACTACGAGAAGGAAAATGGCGACAAGAACGACAGAGAAACACTCATGGCCAGCGGACAAGAACGGAACCTACTCTGGTCGGTTTGGCTGCATCTTCTTGCCAAAACCGGCCCGATTTTTGCCATTGTTCCTTGCCAAAGATGACCCCTCTCACATTTCCCACTCAAGAGTGAACTTGGGATTCCCTCACACGTACGAAACATTGGTCCATTATGAAATAAAGCTTTGAAAAAGATCCGGTGGCAGAGCACGGACTCGATTGCAGTGGACGTTTCTCTTGCGACACGGCCTTCATTTCACTCAGAAGCATAGCCGTTATCTATGCCGTTCTCCTGAACTTCATATCATTCGAAATCGCTTAGAGGATTCCTAAGTTCGGCGTGAATTTGGTCCATATCTGGCGCGATTGCTTTGTTCAACAATTTTTGCGGCAGCCTCCTCTCCCAAGGCCCTACAGCAGTTTTTATTACATTGCCGTCTTGAGAGGCAAAGTGTCAATACAACAAAAAAATTTCGTGTGACGGAAGGGAAAAGTAATCGAAAAACATGAGGTGGAATTATAATTTTGAGACGTCGGCCAAGTTGCCTTCCGTACAAAAATTATTAGAAAAAATTCTAGTGGTATTGAATCGGAGGTCTTTGTCCACAGGCAATTTCGCATTTATATTGGGTTGTCCCATAAGTCCTGTCCGAATTCCGACACTTTCTTCTCTTCAAGTTTTAACTTTAACAAAAACCTTTTGATCAAAAATGTAACAGTAATTATAATCATTAATATGCAACCGTTTAACAGGGAAGGTTT